ATTACATATATTTTTATATATATTTATTATTTGAAAAGGGAGAAATGTATGGATGGATAAATACTAGGTTGTTTGCACTGGTAACTCTGGGCTAAAAAAAAAGTTTTATTTGGAAAAGAGTGGGGTAAAAGCCAAAAAAAAATAGCTGTATTTTATATGTATATTTAAAGTCAATAGAAATTTTATATGCATGTAAGTATGTACATATTTAACAGTATATATTTAAAGTTAACAGAAATTTTAAAGGTATGTCGGTGGTTACATTATATAAAAATAGAGAGGCATAGATAGATGCCTATGTATTTATGCATGTATTTGAATGTGTACATGTACATAGAGAAATAGATGAAAGGATGGACAAAAATAAAACAAGAACATGTCACGCTTGCAAGCTCCTTAGAACCTAAAAAAGAAAAAAGAAAGAAAGTTGCTGTATCTACCACACTGTCAGTCCAGCAGCCCTTTGTGACAACACCTTAAGCAGGGAAGTTCAACCATTAATCACATGTGCACACTCCATCAGAGCTAGTACGTATTGAGTGGGCGAATCATATCCGACTAATATGGCTGAGACACCTACAACACAGATCTGAGCACATTGCCCTTTTAGCAGATGAGAGTTACCCACAGTCTTCTGCTTTCCTTTATGCAAAATCACTCCAGTGTGTTTTGGCTTATGAGCCAACTGATGATATGATTTTTAGAGTAAACCAGACTTTGATAAACAGGAAAATTGAAATAGCCAGAAAAGGTATGACTGGATTAGGCAAGCAAGAAAAGAAAACACAAACAAAAATATTTCAAATCTCTATTGTTGCTTTTTTTCTGGAGAAATAAAGTGTTTTTAAATCATGGGTAAAAGGAACCAAGATTATCCACACTATATAGCGTAGGTCTTCAAAGCCCAGCCATAAGTAAAAAAGACCTAACGTCCTTATGTTTCATATGACTTAGCAAATAAACATGAGCCACTTAAGGGATAATTCCAAAAATTTCTTTACAAAGCATGTGAAAACTTAAAAATAAACAAGTAAAAGTGAAGACTATTTCTAAATAGCCATCTAACCTCAGAAAAGTTTCCCTGAACACGTCGCCTTCAGATCATCTCAGCCATCTTTGGAGAGAGGCTTTGAAAACCACAATGCTGTAAAACACTGAGAAGTAAATAATATTTTAGCATCCAGCTTGCCATTAAAAAAGAAGATTTCCATCTTAACATATGTCAAACTCCCATCGACTCAACTGAAAAGGGCCCTTTTACTGGTGCTATTGTGGAAGCAATTCCTGGGTCTCAATTCATTCTTGAGCAGTCTGCTCTTACATGCTTTTACATTATGCTATCTTCTTTCAACACAGCCTATTTACAATAGAGACAGAGCATGGTAACCAATTCCTGAATCTTTCCCAGAGACAAAACACTCTAACAGCTTCCCCTGCACTTGACACTACATCACACCGCTGTCTTTAATGACGGGCCACACCTAACCCTTTCCCATAGACTGCGGTTCCATTTGAATTACTGTTACTTCACACTGTGGATGAATGGAACAGCTAAAATTTATACACATTCTAGACACCACTTCCTATGCATCCATTCTTCAGGAAGGCCTCCAGAGTTGTTAAGAAAGTCTAAAATGAGTAAGTATTGACCATGTAAAAAACTTCATTACATACGTCATGCACTAATAAAAGAAAAGTTCTAGGAGATAAGTATAACCCAGAGAAAAATATTTCCTGAGTAAATGGAAAGATGAGTAATTCCTAAAGACCTTGCAAACTTAGAAAAATATCTATCAATGATTAGGAGATTTAGAAGCACAGCCTAAGTAATAGAGGGAGGAAAAAAATTAAATTTACAGAAGTATGGTTAAGCACAGGTATTACTAGGAAAAAGGATCTGTGGTACATCAGAATGGAAGATGAACTTGTAAATAATGTTTTATTTATAACATTGTCTAGATTTTTTAACACAACAAAAAGAATACAATATAAAAAACATTATAAAATATATACAGAAAATTCTTTATTGAGAAACAAATTATAGAATATTAATTCTTAGTTTTGAAGAAATCCTGGGAAGTGCTGAGAATTGAGCCTTGGAAATGATAAAAGCATTAAAAATGCCATACAGGTAGCAAATCACAGAACTAAGATTCAAATCTATCTCTGCATTCCACGCTCTTACCCACTCTTTTAACTTGCTCTGCCCTTTGGGTCCTGCCAACAAATAAGTTGCAATGTAATAGGAAGATAAAATATGGCTATTGGTTTGGATTTATTAATTTGAATTTCTAAATAAAGGAGGAATAATAGTTTAGGAGAGTTTTAGAATTTTGAGCCTGGGTGAGTGAGAGAATTATCATTCCCTGAAAGGATAATAGAGAAAAGGAAGAGATTTGAGTAAAATGGCCACCTGCTTTTTCCCCTAACTTTGCATAGGCCCTCTGCTCCCTCAAATTCTGGCAATCACTTTTATACATTCCACGCAGGAGAATAGAAGTTATCTCTCTGGGAAATACACCATCTCACAAAGGAAGACCTGAAGATTCTGATATTGTGTTCCCCAAAGAAATGTCCCAGTCAGATATACAGAAGGAACCACAGTCAACAAACACCATCCACATGCTCAGAGCTTTCTAGAAACAATTTAGTGCCACATTATGGAATATTAGCAAATAATTTAAAAATCTGATCTTCTAAAGAAATAGTCTAACATGAGAGAAACTGAAATAATAACAGAGATGAAAGGTGAAAGCACTTGAGATTTTATGCAAAAGAAACTTTTTTTTAAAATTTCTAATCAATATTCTCAAAAAGATAGGAGATTCTGCATTCATGAAACAATAATAAATAACTTAAAATATTAGGAACATTCAAAAAAGGAATATTCTGATTGAAAAGTGATCTTGAAAATTAAAAATGTGATAGTAGAAATTAAACAAAAAAGTGTAGAAGATAAAGAAATTTCTCAGGAAATTAAAAAGGACAGAAAGTAGGGGAGAAAAGTGAGAGAATTAGAGGGTCAGTCCAAACGATCCACTATCCAAGTCATCAGAGTTCCAGGAAAAAGAGAACAAAGGGAAGAAATCATCTTCAAGAAAATATTCACAAATAGGAGACATGAGTTTCCAGACTGAAGAGACCTACTATGTGCCCGCCATTATAGATGTCATTAAATACACAGTAAGGCAAACCACTATACTACAATGGGAACCAAAGTAAAGTTCTAATCACCCCCTTAAAAATTTTATCACTAAACTCCTCATTGAATTTTCTGCCCTGAAACTGCATACAATGGGTAATGAATTGCTTGGGCATACTATTAGCACAAATAAATAAAATATAAGCCCAGTTTATAATCACTTCAATTTATATGAGCCTCAAACCAAAAACCTTGAAAATCAAAAGAACTCCAATACTTAGAAACTGTAACTGGTGTGAATTGTACATAATTTTTATTTTAAAATATTCCAGGAAATTGAGAGTAACAGAATTATTTCAAGAGGGTAATTAGAAAGATATAATAAAATGTTATTTGAGTAAAAAGAGAAATGTATGCTTTTAACATTACTCAAACTTTTATAAACTCTTGATGGATTCTAAAGGCAGTCCTCTAAGATAGAAGAGGCAAGACAGACACCCTGCAGCCCATTTATGGATAGTTTTTCCTCTTTGCCTGAGGTCCTTGACTGGTCATAAGAGCCAGAAGAACCAATAGCCTGATTCCCAGCCCAGAGTTCGTACCTCTCATTAAATAATAGACTTTTATCCAAATTTCCAACCAAGATGCTTTCTCTATTCTCTAAAATATGCTATAAATTTGGAAAACAGAAATATAAAAAGCAAGAGGATGGCACCAATTTTATTTTATGAAAAACTATGATAATATTAATTCAGTAATAATGAATACTTAATAAAATAAACAGAAAATAGAAATCAATAGATAACTGTACAGTATCCAGTGGTTCCATCCTTAGTAATATCATAGAAATACAAAGAACACAAAAGATACAGATTAAGTTGGCTCAATATTTCATACATGTATTTAGTAAAGTCATGAGAGTTTATATACATCCAAAACTAATATTCTCCACCTTTGTAACCATTGACTCTCACAATGACCTATTATTTTTTCTGGATAATAAATTTTTATATGGAGAACTGCATTACTTTAAAGAAATTTAGTATTATGTGTAAAGATAGAAAACCACCAAAAAAGCACATATGTCACCGATTTAAGTATATTTTTGTCTTTCAGAGAAACTTTAATTCATTTTAACTTTCTTTAACTCAAAGTGGTTTAGTATTCTTTCCTTCAGCATATGCTTTTTTGAATTAGTAAAGTGAAAGCGTAAGAAAAAGAGCTTGATATGGTTAAGTATTTTGAAAGTAATAGCATTGATCATTTTAGCAATTAATAACCTACATTTCAACTTATATTATCATATTGCTTTCCAGAAACAACTCAATCTCTAGAGACTTAGAATGTAAAGGACACTGAAGAATTAAACTATAGTATAAAACAAAAAAAAATATTTCAAGAGTATATTTAAAATGTGTTTGAGGGGCTTGATAACTAATCAATACTGTTAATTCCCCATATTTGGAATTTCCCCCATACACACACATATGCCTACACATTTTTTATAAGCCTTTACTATGATTATTGCACAACAGAAATTGTAAGAAACAAAAGAGTAATATCAGCGAGAGAGAATTTCACAGAAAATACTGATTACATTTGATATGGTTTGAAAACTGGCTTTGAGTGAGTATCTGCTTAGAGAAATGCTTGGAGGAAGAATGTCCTTGGGAACAATCATAAACAGAAAACTCTATAGACTGGATTTACAAAGAAATAAATATATACATAGTCTATAAAGGCAATGTCTTGAGAGCTATGCTGGCAATTTTCCAGGAGCTCTGGGAACATGCCTAATTTCCATCTAAATTTGCACACATCTTTATTGCAATCTCATACCCTGTGAAGATTTACTCACTCTCATGTCCTTTGGCACAAGGGGAGAAATGAGATGTTTCTCTCTTTCTCTCTCTCTCTCTCTCTCAGAACAGTCAAATCAGTGATGTCCTTGTAGACCATAAGGAGTCTAAATTGCATTCCTTAAGACCTCTCCTCGGTATCACTGATATTTAAAAAATGGAAAAAATTCAGTCACTGCACAACTGGGAATGACAACAAATAATCTCCATCCTGGGAATTGAACTGTACAAATGAAATACTGAATGAGACTACATCCATTGTAATCTCTCTGTAACTCATCCCACCTGTGCATGAAAAACCCATATTATCAAATAATTTTGTGATGAGGTTGCTAAAGTCGACATCCCTTCAAATGGATCACTTCTTGCATGTCCATTTGAAAGTGCATTCCATTCAGTTACTCCTAACCTCTCTTCTTCTGTTTTCTTCCTCTCAGAGTCCAATTCCCAATTCTAGAAAAACCCTCCTGGACTAATCACCATTGTGTCACAGCCCTCTGTTCTCACATTTACTGCTAAATTTTTGAGAAAAACTTCAGGGTTTCTTTCTCTACTTCTTTGACTCCTCCCATCCTCTTGTAATCTGTTTCTGTCCCATAAAGGATGGAAACTACTACTTAAATGTCACCAAAAACTTATGAGTCATCATTCCAAGGGTGTCCTTCAACTCTTATCAACAATGATGATGGTGAAGACCATGGTGCTGCTGATCACAATGACACTGATGGCTGACCTCACTGAACAGGAACCGAATGCTTGCCACAGCGCTCAGCATTTCCCATGTGTTAGCAAATTCGTTCCCATAATAACCTTTTCTTTAACAACATTTTTTTAAGCAGCATCTTGAAAAAAAATTGCACCTTCGAGAATGGACTGATTTTCCCTGGGGTTGCCCAGTGAGTAAGTACTTGACTGCTTTGCAGCATTTTGTATAGTTTCCATTTTCATGAATAATTCATACTTTCTTCCTTGTTGCCCTCTTACCCCATCCTGCCTGGCTGTCCTCCTGGCTCATTCTCCCTCTGTTAATTCCCTTCTTCCACGCATCCTTCTCATGTAGGCTCATCCACCCCTTGATATGATCATTTCATACCATATCAATCATCTACTCCAGATGACTTCCAGGTTTTGGATTCTGGCCTAGAGTTTCCTCCTATTTGAGGGCATATGTGGCAATGGTGCCCTTTTTCTTTTCCCTTCCCTCTATAGATCTCTTGCTCTTTCTCATCATTCCCAGCCAGTCAATCTTGGAAACACACAGTTTCTGTATAAACACAGTTTACACTATGCCTTATGTCCTTCTACCTCCCTTTTCATTTCAGCTGTCCAATTGAAGAATCACAGTTCCTACACAATACGAGAAAAAAACTAAAACTAAGAACTTAGAATTAGAAAGTCCTAAATATGAACAATGGCTTGGGAACTTACTGTGTGTTCTTGAACAAATTATTTTATCCTTGTATATCTTGGTTTTCCCCTTGATAAAATGCAAATAATACAGTGTTGTTGTGTGGATTAAATGAAATCATAGATGGAGCTCAATTATATAATGATTCCCAAAAAAAGCCTTTATTATATTATTAACCCCAATTCTTGACCCCAGATTCTTCCCCAACCCACTTGTAATAAAGCAATTCAAAAAATTTTCCTGATTTCTTTTCATGACTAACTTCCCTTAAGCTTTCATGATTTTATTCTGGCCTTCTTCTCTAGGTTTACTTTCCATTATAGTGTCTATCATTTCTCCATCCCACCACCAATGCTTAATCCCTATGGCTCATTTGACACAACTTTTCTTATCCTTCCCAGGCTTTTCTTAAATATTTCTCTCTCCTCAATAGTTATTTCAATATACTTTGAACTTAATATTTACAAATCAAAATTCAATCCTTCTTTTAGGATAGAGATAAAATTTCAGACAATCGAAATTATTGTTTCCTAGAATCAACCGGCTAAGATGAATGTGTCCTCTATGTGCACATACCAGCGTAAGTTCTATTTATCAAAATCTGCCCTTCATTGGTATTACTTATTTAAGTGTCTGTCTCACCACAGACAGGAGGACACAGGCCCTGCTGGTCCTGTTTCGGTTCTCTCATTTTCCCTATCCAGTGCTCTGCACAGAGTCAGCCCTTGATAAATATTAGGTATGTTTAAATAACTCAAATCCTTTCAGACTTAATATCCTCTACAAGTAGTAACAGGGAAAAGTTTCAATTTTCTTAATATCAGAGTCTCCTCCAGGAAGACCTTGGTCTTTCTGGAAGGTCTACTTTGCTGTGCTTATTGGGATGAGACATCCATACAAGGAATATGAGACCCATAAGGGGGCATATTTGAAAAAACAAACAGATGGTCTAAAAAGTGCTTTCTAAAGATAGTTGGTTCAGCTAAGTGCAGCCTTTGTCAATGATTGAGGCATATGAACTTGAAAAGGGAGCTGAATTTCTTAGGACAAGAGAGTAGACTTGAAGGAAAGATGGTTTGATGTTGAGGGAAGACAAGGAATCTATGTCTGTGGGAAAAACAAAGATGTCTAATGGGCATTTTCTTCACATGTTGCCAGGTGCAGTCAAATATAAACTACCTTTCCAACATGCCCCCTACCCACCCACCATGAAATTGTCTGTTAAATTCTACATTGCCTTCAAAGCACTGTAAAGTTCAAACTGGTTCAGGAAGGATATGTTGAACTGAGGTCTTCTTCAAAATGGACACAAGATAAGAACTTGAATGGATCAACCACTTGGGGATGATATTTATATAATATTCTATAAATATAGTGTGTTTCCAGGAGATGGGGATACAATAATTTAGTGTGATGACCATCATCTGGTCTCTTTTTTTACTTTATGCCCCAAATTCTATGTATGCCTGAGTAAGTATCATCACCACTCAACCAAACATTTATGGAGAGTCAACAGAAGATAGTATTCTATTAAGTAGAAAAGAAAAGAGAAAGAAAAAAAAAAAAACTACTGTTTTTACCAATAATATCTCCCACTGACAATATCCAGGTACTGTTCTAAAAGTTTATTATCTCATTTAATCCTACCTATAGCTCAATATTACTAGTATTCCCATTTTACAGGCTTAGAGGCTTTGAGCAGTTGAGTAATTTACCAATAATCCCACAGCTAGTAAGAAACAGGTTCAGAGGTTAAGTCTGTTTTCATCTACCTTAATGCAGATGTTTTTAACCATAGTATTTACAGCTATTAAGGGGTCCCAAAGGTGTATAACATATAAAATGGTTACAACTTATTTAGACAGATTAAATAAATACTCCTTGAATGATAACCCAGAATGTTTGGATTTGAGTTCCTAATTTCAATTTTCAGAAATAAAAAATAGACATTTGAGACTTAAAAATTCAAATTGTCTCAAAGTCCTGTATATTTTTGTATATTTCTTATTTTTTTCTTTTTTTCTTTTTTTGTATATTTTTATATTTTGTATATTCAAATTGTCTCAAAGTCCTGTGTAGCATTTTCAACCAAGCCTGGTGGGCCTGACCATCTTTAGACAAAAGGAATGCCAGATTGACCACTGTGCTGAACAGCACTAAATAAACCAAACAGATTGGTTGCCTTGGTGAACCAGGTAAAGACAATCTGAACAGGTATCCATAAATATTACTAAAAAACATTCTTTGAATCTTTAAAAATTGTCTACTTTATTTTCTTGGCCTTCTAGTAGCCTTTTAATTAACATCTTACTTGATTTAGAATACTTTTTCCCCATTGCCTACAAGCAAATACACTATATAGTCTAATATAATTTTTAATTTCCTCTGCTGTACTGGGTTAAATGGCTATTATATTTTCACAATTTCATTTCGAGGTAGTCCTAAATTGTAAGCCAGTAAATTGTTGTGTTTCTACATTATGAATTTCCTAAGACAAACATCATAATTGTGTTCCTTTTCCTACTAAAAAAAAAATCACAGTTTATTCTTGGGAATCATTTTGATGAGAGAAAATCGTTAGGAATTATGCAAAAGTGAAGTTAAAGTTGATGTTGTTCAAGTAAAGAAAAATAAGAAATTTTGATTGGGAATTAACACAAGAATTGCTCTCTCAATAGAGACTTATAAATTATATAAATAAATAAATATTAATTTGAATAAGGCTCAGAGTTCCAGGAGAACACATAGCAAGAAGTTCAAAGTTAAAGTAGACATTAAATACTGCTTCAGGAATAACACAAAGGCCAAATGATCTGAGATAAAGGAATGCCAGTCATATATTGAATTTAAAAATAAATAATGTCCTCTTATTCAATCTGTACCAACCCTAATTACATAACAAGATTTAAATTTATGTGACAGACATAAGTGAGTTCACATTTTTTTACCTTGTCACTTTATTCCATAAGTTAATATGGGCTTCACCTGAAGGAAAGAAAGTTACCAGAATGCACTATCAGAGAATGCAATCCTTTACATGAGAAATCTTAGTGGTTTATATTAGGTTCTCGGTATGTTGGTATGGTATATAATTACATGATTAGGTAGGTTTGTTCTTAATCCTCTTCTATGTGCCCAGTAGACCAGAATGTCTCTTTTGGAGGTTAAGATACAAATTACCTAATTAAGACTTACACTCTGTATAATAAAAATCACATATATGAAATTTATGCAGTACATAGATGGTTATCCTGTATATTCCATTGTTTTGTGTTGTTTTTTATAGAAGGAACAATAAAGTAACATTTTGAGAGCTATTCTATCAAATTTTACTTTTTATTTTGAATTTTAATCTAGTTTACTTAAAAATATATACTTTTATGTAGGAGACATGTACCTTAAATATATATTACATAGGAGACAATTTCAAGAACATTTGTATGAATGCTAAATATGTAAGGAGAATCTTTATATGGGTATGAAGAATGAAGAAAAAATTATTTGCTTTATGTTACCATGAAAATTTATTTCCTCCTTTATTTGAAAGAGAGAACTAAATAGTTTATAAAGGTGACGTTTTTATTGTAATCTGCTTCTGAAAAACATTCTAGCTCTTCATCCCAGTCTCTCATCCTGCTCTTCTCATCATACCTTCTCCATCTATTTCCTCTTCCAAAACTCTAACAAGTAGCCTTAAATTTAAACTTTGAGCCAAGCATTCCACTAATGTCTTTTTGCTTGGTGAGATACTTTGTGTCCACAATTCTGTCAAAAATGAATCTATTTAACAGAAGTCATTATTCCATTCAGTTATTAATAGCACAAATAAATGCACATCTGTTATATATCAGATTCTGTTCTAGGTTCTAGAGAGACAGCAGTGCATATCAGATAGAAAGATCCTTGTCCTCACCCATCCTGATTTCTCATGATGAATTATTTCCTTTGAGTTGATCACGTAATCAAGCCAATCCCACATCTACACTCCTGGGTCTCAGGCCAGTCCTAACTGTGTCAACATAAAGTAAATTTTAAGCTTTTCAAGGTCATTTGAAGGGCCTCTATTCATTTTGGAAATACATGAGAAAGATATAAGGAAACATGTGCTTTCTTTGGATGGCTTAAGGACAGTAGAGTACTGGTGTGGAAGTGGAATGAAGGGCGGACAAGCTCAGGGAACTTCTGACTGTGGGAGCCTGCTGCCCCATTACTGAAGCCTCACAGCTGGAGAACAAGGGGACTGGGCCCAATATCTAGAGAAAGTGATGTCAATAACCACAAGAGATACTTCTCCAGGAACAAGGTAGAAGACTGGATTGGTGGTTCTAGTTCTATGAGTGAGCCTCACGGATTCTGGGGGAGGATTGATTCTGACAGAAGACAGAAAGAGAACTGAGAGCTTGTCATGGGCCAGCCCCAATAGTGGGGAGTTTTGCCCTGGGAAACAATGACTGAGGATATATGTGTGAGGATATATGAAGTCAGACAAGGAATGCTCCGGAATCCCATCATGTAGCACCGCTGTAGGCTTTGCAGGGGTCCTGACAAATGGGGCCTAACTAAATGGCAGGTAGAAGCCTCAGACTTTTCTCTCAGCAAAACTTTGGGAAGCAGAATACTGAATGCACACCACTTTTCTATCAGCCAAGCCCCTGGAGTTCTCGAACAATTCAGAAGGTAGGAGGAGGCCTCTCCCTATGGTAGACTTCCTGTTAATAAGCATGTGTGGGGGTGGAGTGATGTACTGAAATAAGGAAATTATTACCAGACTTGTACTTTAGGATATTGAAGAAGTACATTCAGGTTGCATTAAGTTAATATCTAATTAGTATTTATCATTTGTTTGACTTCTTTATATTTACTCTTTATACTGAGGAGGAGGAAAGTTTGAACAACAACAAAAAGATGCTTAAACTCTGAATTGAAAGGGGACATCCGATTTTTGTAACAACTCTTCTTCCTAACCCTATAAATATAAACCAAGACAGAAAAAAAATGAAAAAAAAATGTGCTGCTTCCTGGCTCTACTCAACTTTCTGCTGCATTTTACAACTACTCCCCACTGTGCTATCCTCAGAGGAGATAAATGAAAGCTATTTATTACCAGACTTTTCCCAACCTCCATCTTTTTATTCCCTTGGGTCCATACACTTGAAGACTGTAATTGTGTCCTAACTGAAATAAATCTTATATGGAATATCTAAGTTCAATAAGGAAGCTAAAACACCACCATACCACTTTTTGATAGAGTGGACAAAATAACTTTTGCCTCTGAGGACTTCTAAATTACAAACGAGTAAGAGCATCTAAGACAACAAACTCATTAACCTTGCTTTTAAGGCCCTGCGGGATCAGGTCCCTACCCACCTGCACCCTATCTCACTCCTTTCCCTGCACATCCTTGAGTTTGGATGCTTTGTTCTTCTTTCAGGTCCTTGTACACATTATGCTGCTATATGCCACAAAAGCTTTCTCCACTACTGCCTCTGCACAGAAACCTCCCTTCACCTTTTCCACTAGTTAATTCATCTTTCAGATGAATTAGAGACAGATCAAACTCCCTACTACATGTTCTTATGATGGGAGAAGCTTCCAACACAGTTACTATTTTGCATTATGATTACATTTTAATGCCCTCTCTTCCCTCAAGATTGTAAGTTCCAATAGAGCTGCATTCCAATAGAACGGCTAAGATCCTTATTTTCTTATTCTCCATTGTATATCTATTCCTTGTACAAGGTAGTTATTTAATTAGCATTTACTCAATGACCGAATGAATGGAGGAAGTGAGGATCTCAATAACCTGTAATAGTTGTGTCAGCAATAATAAAATCATATGTTAAATGAGTAAATTCAAATTCCAACATTTATAACCATAGAACCAACAACACAAGCATGGAAGGGGGAGCATGAAACATAAGGGTAGCTCATACAAAATATGTTTCAGTGTTCTAATTAATTATAACTTCCTATGAATCAACAGTATGACAAACAAAATCACTGGCAGTCTAGTGCCCAAAATCATAAGAGATTTTACCTTTACAGTCGAAATTGATCTGCATGTATCAAGAAAACTGTGGAATGATATTTTTATAGGAATGCCAATAAATTGGAGCATATTCAGAGAAAAGAAATTGCCATGAGGAAAGATGGGAAGCCATTGCAGTCACTGAAAAAAACTATCTTGTATTTTTTAATTCATTCATTCACTCATTGAATTCATTAAATGAACGTGATTGAGAGTATCATACAAGGCACAAATCTGGGTAGTTGGATATAACAGCAAGCAAAGGAGACAATGATCCCTGCCTCATGTAGCTTGTGTTCTTTAATATAATAAACAAGGGAAGTAGAAATTTGAACAATTAAATGGATCCAGCATGCTAGTGTGGGAAAAGGGTGGGGTGACATGTTAAAGCATTAGTACTGTAATGAGAGGTGATATTGGATCAAAGTATGGAAATAAGGAAGAGAGGCAACCACAGGGATATTTAGGGAAGAATGTTTTAGCCAAAGGAAACAATCAAGTGAAAGTCTTACTTCAAGATAGAGATTGCCTGGCATATTGGAGGGTCAGTCACAAGGCCAGTATGGCTGAGGCAGAGCAAGTCAATGGGGAGAGTTCAGGAGAGGCTGCCTGAGAAGTAGCCAGAAGCCAGATCACAGAAAACTTTGTAGGCCATGGCATGATATCAGTGTTTTCTGTGAGATGAATTACCCAATGAGACTGGGTAAAAATCTATGTAAAGTGAACCAAAGCATGGAAAGTATAAGACAGTAAAATGTAACTCCATTTTAAAAGCATCACTAAGAATTAACATCATGAATAATAGAATGGGCTATCTCACCCATGGGCAAAATTATTATTTTTTTAACTCATAACTTTAATAAAATAGGTGTTGAATGTATATCCTTTAATCCATGTCCAACTTATTTGTGGAAAAATGGAGGCAAAAGACAAGAAATACAAGTGGAATGAGATTTCAGGACCTCATAAATTCTATGTGATTTTTCGTTTTATCACATTCTAATGCAAATATTCCCTCATGGTGAATCAGAACTTAGGGGAAAAGTCCCCAAATAACAGAATTTTAGTGCAGTTAGCATGTTTCAAATAACATGTAATACTATATAATATTTTTTAAATATTATGCTAAAGTACATAATTATAGGCTTATAACAGGGATATATACACTATATGTGAGTGTATAAAAAGAGAAATATTACACAAATATTAAATATTGTAATATTAATACATAATATAATGAACACTGTGTCACAGATGTGAATATATGTCATTTAAGACGGAGCATGATTTGCTTCTTACCATTTTTATCCCCCTGGAGCAGGTCTGTTATATAATGAAAGCAGTAAGATTTCCTTTTTCAATCAGAAGATTTTACAAAGTGAGATTTTAAAAATATATCTTTTGAAAACATTTTTAAATAATTTCTAAGTGTTACATAGTTTCTATTTGTTATCCTAGTTGAAAATAACTAGAGGAATTTAACTTGACAAAAATGCACCTCAATACACCATTCAGCTTTTTAAAAATAAAGCTACTTCCTATATTTAAGCTGTGTATCCATCCTGTGAATTCTTTATGAGGGAAAAAAAATATACAAAAGAACACGCGCGCACACACACACTATACCATGCCTCTGCACCCCCATACACACTTTCTTAAAAATGTTTCCATTTGCTCCTCAGAAGTCACCAAGTAGCAAACCTAAGTGATTAGACTAACTCATCCAGCTCACTAGTCAATTTAGAAAGAGAAGAAGGTCTTCAGAGTGAAGTAAGTGGACAGATTGAAGAACAAGGAGGGGGGTAATGTTTTCTGGAAGTAGCTCTTAGAAATCCTGTTCACAGCCTGGAACTGCATAAATTTTCTCTGCATATGTTATTGCTACCTTGGGGGCCATGATAGCATATGCATTTTGGTTTTTTCAAAAAATAGATGTATGTACATGAATATGTGTGTTTAATGCATAAATATTATGATGATTTTTCTTTCATGGGACTCTGTAGTCCCTTCAGACTGTACTATAGTATATACAGTAAATAATCAGTAATCCATTGAGAATGTATATATTTTTTAAGAAACTACAATGTAGGGTTGAAATGGGGGCTGAATATTATTGCCCAATTTAGAATATCTCAGAAGTGAAAAATTATCAAGCAAAATAAACTCAGCAAGACAATACAGACATTTGGTGGCAACACTGATTCCAGCAGAAGAATAAATATGAATATATAAACTGGAACACACAATCTCGGAAAAGCAAGAAAATCACACTTACGCATCAGTGTAACAGCTAGGAAAGTTAAAAAAGCAAGTTAATGTATTGTTACATGACATTATGTAATACGCTTAGAAGAAAATATAACTGCTGGTCAGGTGATTTTAATAAAACCAGTAAGTTTAGTTTCTTGAACACCTGTAGGTTATTATTGTAAAAAGAATGTTATTATTTGAATGTAAATTTAGTCCTTGATGTATTTTGTTTTTTCACGAAAGGTATATGTTCAACATACTTAGTCTTACTATTCTTTGTATACATGATAGAACAAGATGATAAAAGCAAATGATTGTAATATATTTGGTTTCTCAGTAAGTTTCCTCAAACATAGACTGACAAATCTAATATGAATCCCCAGAATTTCAGTTACTTCTAAGCGTCAGTACTCTGGAATATATAAAATAAATAAATGATCAATGAAATGAAATATGACAAAATGTTTCATATTGATGTTTTCTTCCTTCAAAAAATGCCTTTTTGGTTAATGCCCCAAGTCACTTTTTCCATACATTTCTTTTTCACAATGTATAGATTTCCTAGTTCTGATCTCAAGTTCAGGGAGCCTGGGGAGAAGTGGGAGATTTCTTCAAACCAGGGCTGTTCCTCAGCCTTTCACATGAGAAAATTGTTAGGAGCATTAAAGTATTTCTGACTATGCTGCATTCCTTTGTTCAGAGTGAGTTTTGGGAACACATCCTTTTCTCATTATATTTCCATAAAATATATTTGATCTATTCTATTCTTAGAATACCTCTGATGTGGTCTGTGAGTGGAGTGCAGTATAAAAATATTTCTTTTTTATATGAGACAAAATGTTTCCATTTCTTAGACACATAAAAAAAATTCACTATATAGCACTCTAAGAAAGTAAAACTTGTCCAATACATTTTCGTACTACTCAAAACAGACCACAGAGGCCCCCTCTTCCTCTATTGTAGTTCAGAACCTCACCCAAGGCATGGAGCCCTCTGCAGAACAAAAGGAAATTGGGAAGAAAAGAGAGCCAGAAGAACCGGGAAAGATTCTGGATAATCTGACTAGGAAAGCAAGTTTATATTTAGAAGAACCGAAGTAAGTTACCCCTCTTCCTTTAAGACTAAATGAGCTCAACTAAATTTGTATTAGGAACTAAAACATTGTCAAAAATTTTAAGTTTAATGTGAACAGTTAACGTTTCCAACTGGCGGCAAATAGTTGAAATGTTTGCTTGGTTAATTCGATTTAGAAACCACTAGAAGCCAAACAAGTCTTTCTTGCAGTTTTCTACCACACGCCCTGGGTACACAGCACCAGGCCACACATCTACAACATGGCCTGGTTAGGGCTGTTGATCGTTCTTCCAAGAGCAAGCCATTCTTTTTGAGAACATTTTCTTCAAATACTTGTCTTTGGCATTCCCTTCCTAAGAGAACAACTATCTAAATCTAGTTTGTCAGGGTCCATTTGAAACGAAACATTAATCCTGAAGGAGTGCCACCCACAAACTCACTCCAAAACCAAAGACTTAAGAAATCTACCGCTAACTTTCTTTGATTACTCCTGTGATTGCACATGTACAATGTTTATGGTAAATATAAAGGTCTGTTTAAGGCAAGACTTTGGTGTCTCTCACCACAACATCCAGCATGCGCCGATCAGTGAATGATATGGTAGTTACCCAATAAATACTTGCCAAAAACATGAATAAGCGAATGAGTTGGGAAACTGGACTTCATTCTCTAGTCCCTTAATCGCTGAAGGGAAAATATTCAAAGTAACAATAATTGGTCCAGTTAGACTGAGAACTGCTGATTATCCAAGAAGACCCTATCCTTCCCAGATGAGATGATTGACTATGTATTTGAGAAACAATGGCTCCTTGCAAAAGATACTAACATTGCAAAAGTTACAGACATGTCTGAATTCTTTTTGTAAGACATAAGTGCAATGTTTCAAAAAGTCTAAATATTTCTGTATTGGAGTAAAATAGTGAATATTGCTATAGTGTTAGGCTTCCATATAGCCTCCCATCTATCACAGATTCAATGTCATTGATACTATTGCTATTGATATTAGACCAAAATAAACAGACATATGAACATGAGTTCTGCTAAAATGAGATAGATGTAAAATCATGCAATAACATAACAGACTTATGAAGAAAATGACAGTGGGGCAAAATACCCAAAAAACTTATGAGGGACTCAGAAATCTAATGAAAATTGTAGCATAGTTTAGACATGATAAATGGTTAATAAATGCATAAATATTATAGCAAATGTCAATTTACCTTGAAAAAGACCTGAATTTTGCTTGTGGAAGTGAGTCTCAGAAGGATTTAGCTCATGTCTTAAGTGAAGACGTGAATGTAGGACTACATGAAATGAGACAGAAGGGTGTGGCTCCTACTACACGAAGCAAACATGGTGGCTAGCAGACAAATGAGATGTGTGTGGGTGTGTGGGTGTGTGGGTGTTGTGTGTGTTCCTAAGCAACTTGATTCTACGGCTTGTGGTTTTCTATGTTTACTCACCTTTTATTTCTCATAGACAAAATTGTGCATAAGCGAGAGCAAAATTTGCATTATGCAAATTGTTCCCTAATATATTAATCACATTGGAACAAATTCATGTCTTCAAAATGAGTGTTACAGCAGAACTGCCTCTACCATATTCCAACCGAATGAAAGAGAAACTCTGATATAAATCTCAGCCTAATCAACACAGGATTATTCTAGCAGTTTGCATTTGATTCTTACACCCTAAATAAAATCTACTTTATCTAGATTTTAAACTCTTTAAGAGCAACAGATATTCAGTTGTATAGCCAAGAGATCTTTCTCCAACTTCATTTAATATACTTAGATTCAATAAAATATTGTTTAGTGAAAAATCCAGAAAAATCATTGCAATATACTACTCCAATCTGACTGCAAAGGTAGCAGAGGTAAAGCATAGAAATTACAGCATAAAACAAAGACATTATAAGGTCACTGTGGTTTTAAATGGAGTTTGGCCCTTGAGACCTCAAAACTGATAAACACACATATGTATTCAATAAATTACACCCCAGCTATGAATCTAATAAGAAAATAGGTTAATGCTAAGTTCCCACCATTCTATATAACACTGAAATTTACTGAATCTTAATTTTGAAATTTTTTTGAAACTTGATTAACCTAAACTGATACTTTGCTTCTCTGCTTATTTTAAGTTAAATGGATATACAGATCTTGACATAGTTTCATGTTCTGATTATTTCGGCTTTTTAAACACAGGTCTGCAGAAGGGATTGCCCGAGAATTAACCATTTATTGAAACCTCCAGTATGTGAATCGTTGTTCAAAATCATACCTAGTATATTGTTTCAAAATCTGATCCTCCTTTTATGTTACCTATGTTAGTTAATTAAGCCATTCTCCACTAATATTGAGAAGATGAAAGTCATCTTTTCTCTTTCTTCCGCCCTAACCACTGTTTCTTCCATTTTCACTGAAAATTATTTACTTATTTAAGTAGAAAGCATCCAAATCGCCCTCATCCTGACAAAGTTTACAAAAAGAAAAATGTTATGTAATTGAGACAAAATAAATTTTATTCACATGCATAGAAAATAAATGTCAACTGAAAACAATATTCAGAGACTTCAAATTAATGAATGCAATAATAGAAAAGGTACTTGTCAGAAATCCCAATATTTCATAGAGAATACTCTTGAAATCAGTTTACACCAGCATTGTTTAAATAGATTATTAAATTTGAAAGTACAAAGTTCAAATCAGGTCACGTAAGGTCAGTAAAATCGTGGATATTTTCTTTTTTCCATTATATTCAGAGACATTTTTTCTAGTTATATGTGATATTCAGTCTTTAAGTATGAGAAACTGCATTTTTGCCCTGTTCAGAGCTTACCAGTTTCTTTTTAGTGCATGTTAAAGCAGTGTGTTTTGCTAACACGATTGTATAGAAATTAATAGAATAAATAAATATTTAATTCTTTAGAATTTCTATTTTTTTTTACAAAAAGGGAGGAAATAGAGTTGGTTCTTCTACATGGTAAAATTTGTTTCCCCAGCTTCAGTTATTTTTACCTCCCCTCTCATGTTTACTTCAAACCCACTGACCACTGTGTATTGTTTTCACAAATGTTTCCACATCTGCCCATCACCCACCTTATTACTTACTTAATGCTTTTCTTTAACTATTGGTTCTTGAGTAGATTCTAAAAGCTAACTTCCTAAGACTATGACAATGGATAAGCAGAATCATACCTCATATAAAGGGAGTCACTGTAAAATTTGCCTCAATGAAACCAAAAAATCTTATTAAATTCCATCTAGAAATGGTGACCATCTAGAATGGCTTAGTGCCTGAGTCCTGATGGCTCATTTGATTTTCTTTTGAAACGGATATTTGCAATTGCTAGACAGGAGCTAAAAATATGGAGTTGAAGACACAGTAGCACCAAACAGAGAAGTTTTTCTTCTGCAACCAAAAGGAATGAAAGAGAATTGGACAGAGATTAATTTTCTCTCCATGTGAGTCTTTAGAATTTAAGGTAATAGTCACATCACACCTAAAATCACCTCCCAATTGCCATCGGTACACATTCCAAATTTGGGAAATCATCAGTGTAGGGCAAAGAACATACTATTCCAGGTAGCAGCTACCCACTCTGCAATCAACTCTGTCTACTTCATCTGAGACCACATGCAAGCACTATGACTTCCATGAGCCACAGATTTCTCAATAAAATTGAGAATTTGGATTTTGTGGGCTAGGCTAGGCTGTGACAACAACCTCCCCCACCCCCGCCATCTCACTGGTTATATTGGTATTTGTTGGTTATATTTGCAGTTCTTGTTCAAACAACAAATTTATTTTTCCTTTCCTCTTCTAGTTCTGTGCAAATCCACGGGGGTCACTTTCCTACCACTATCTGGAACAGCACTGGTTATAGTGACAAAGGGAAATCACGCACAGCCTCTTAAAGTTTTTGTCCAGGAATAACATTTGTTACTCTGCTCACATTTCATTGGTGAAAGCATATTGTGTGGCCACACTGAGTTCAAAGTCCATAGGGAATCTGACCGTCTCCTATGGTCTGAGAAGGTAGAAGTGCCAAAATATTTTGGACGAGTCATAGCAGTGCCCATCAACTTAATGTTCTCTATAGTCGGTGGTATTGATTAAACTCTGTAGTGACAAAAAAAAGGCTTATTTTGCATTTAATGTATGAGATCTCTGAAATTAGTCAGATTACTTAGTTTGAAGGTTTTTTAAAACATAAAATTGAGGGGCGCCTGGGTGGCTCAGTGGGTTAAGCCTCTGCCTTCCGCTCAGGTCATGATCTCAGGGTCCTGGGATCGAGCCCCACATCAGGCTCTCTCCTCAGCAGGGAGCCTGCTTCCCCCTTTCTCTCTCCCTGTCTCTCTGCCTACTTGTGATCTCTCTCTCTCTCTCTATCAAATAAATAAATAAAATATTTTTTAAAAAATAAAAATAAAACATGAAGTTGATATTATAGTAATGGACCGCATATTGTTCTTCAAAGATCCACTATTAATCACAGTAAAATTATCAGGAGATTAAAATCTGATAGAAACTATCCAACCAGGATTTTAATGATTAGAAGTGAAAAAAAAAAAAAAAAGGATTTTTTGTTTTGGTTTTTGAATGCTGTTTAGATAACACAAAAACACATGACCCAAATCAGTTTGATGCTAGTAGGAGTTATGCAGAATAAAAGAAAATGAATGTGTTTAAAAACTGGTAAACGTTAGGAAAGTTTTATAATCATTAAATAGCTAAGGTCTGAGGTTAGTGGAAAAACATGGTATGATCTCCATTAACGTACCCTCATTCTAAATGTACAGGCTCACATGTCAGCCATGGGCTTGCCATGCCTGGTTAGATTTGTCTTCTTCAGTTACCACTCAGTTACTAACATAACCAGGCTCAGTGCCTCCTCCCCAGCATGGCTTGGCCGTCACATGTAAAAGTGATCTGGTTTGTTTAAACAGAATATTTTCTTACTGTTCTCTTTGCTATTATATATCATAGCAGAAGGCTTTGAGTTAATAAACCACTGCCCACATGTCAAAATAGGTCACAGAACCTTCAAGGGAACATCAAATCAAAAGATCGATAGTATCACCATAGCTTGTGCCATACACTTCGGAATGTGACCACTCTGCCTTTTGGTCCATTGCCAATATATTCAGTCTTTTGTGAGTCTCATATTCTTTGAGTATTGGTCTTCTCTCTCCAACTTGATTAAAAACTTCTTGAGCACAGAAACCAAGCTGTGCACTTCTTTTTGGGTCAACCACAATACCTAAAACAGCATTGAGCACATAGTTAAGGTCCCCAAAGCTTTTTTTTTTTTTTTCTTTTCTTGGTGACACCTATTTAAAACACAGGGAGGACAGAGGATTTTTATGTCTTCATTCAAAAAAAAATCTTTGAGCAGCAACCGCATAGCCTGGACTGTGTAAAGTTTGGGTAAACAACAGAAAACAAACTACAAACCCTAGAGCAGCAGTTCCAGTCAGGGTCCGTTTTGTCTCCTACGAGACGTTTGGCAGTGTCTGGACATAGTTTTGGTTGTCAAAGTTGAGGCGGGGGTGCTGCAGGCATCTAGTGGGCAGAGGGCATAGAATGTTGCTAAACAGCTTCCAATGCACAGGGCAAGCCCTGCACCCAACAGTTCCCCAGCCCAGGATGGCAATTGTGCCCATGTCGGGGAAGTCTGGCCATAGACTAGTGTGGCAGTCAAGAGTGGAAAACAATTTAATACAAATTTAATACAGGCTTACTAATAATGGTATTGCATTTCCCCCCAAAGTTCTTAGTAGGGCAATTTTAATACTTGTATCTCATTAAATAACACGACCCTGATAAGGACAACTCTAGAGGCAGACACATGACAAAAACTGTATAGAGGAGTCAGTAAGAAGAATTTTGTTATTGAGAAGACTTTTGTGGATGGAGATGTAAACAGTTGTTTCCAGTATTTCCATAGTAGAATTAGCATCTTCCTCATTAACAGAAGAAAAAAAAAATAAAAAAGATAATAGTACATGAGGTAAAGTGTAGAAAAGCTGTATTTATACTACAGTTGTATTTCTGAATCCCTGATAACTACTGTGGCTACACCACAGCTTCTAATGTAGTTAATGGTCTAAGACTCAAATTCTCTTTGCTCAAGGGTTTTGAGAAGAAAAATAAGTTCCTATGTAATAGTGAATATATAATACAATAATAACATTTCAAATGGGTAAGCAATATCCAGTTCACGTACAGGGATTTTTTTTTTTTTTAACGAGATAAAGAGGAATCATTATAAAGCAGA